GAAGGGTCTAGGCCCGAAACGTCAGCCTTTCTGCTCCTATGATGCTGCTTGGCCTGCTGTGTTCATCCAGCTCTGCACCTTGTTGTTTCGGATTCTCCAGCATCTGCAGTTCCTACTACCTCTGAAGGAATTAAGGGTTATGATGAGTGGGCTGGTAAGTGGCGCTGAGTATCAAAAAGATCAGCCGTGATCTTATTAAATGGCGGGGCAGGCTCAAGGGGCCAGATGGCCTACTCCTGCTCCTAGTTCTTATGTTCTTACGTTCTAACTCCCTCCTGCTGCCTTCTGAGTCAGCGTTCCTCAGCTTCATAACCTTTGGAGAGAGATTTCTTCTTACGTATACCCTAAAAGGGTGACCCCTAATTTTTAAATGATGCCTGTTGTTCTGGACGCACCCATAAGCAGAAACATGATGTATCAAAATTGTCGTAAGTGGGAGCTCTTGGCTGCCAGTTTGGTCCAGAGAGAAAGCAGCTGCAGCAAGTGTTTGATTTTCAAGCAGCTTCACCTCAGAATTGAGTTGAACTTGACAAAGTATCAGGGAGGGGGAAAGTTACCTGGATTTTTTATACAAGGAGGCAGTTTATGAAAGGACATCTGATTTGGTCAGAGACAGGAGTATGTGACTAAGTGAGGCAGGAAAGGAGGCCAGAGGGCTGGAGCACAGATAGAGTCGTAAAGTCATAGAGCATGGAAACAGATCGTTCAGTCCAACCAGTCCATGCTGACCATAATCCCAAACTAAACTAGTCCCATCAGCCTGCACTTGGCCCATATCCCTTCAAACCTTTCCTATTCATGAACTTACTCAAATGGCTTTTAAACATTGTTACCGTATCTGCGTCCACTACTTTCTCTGGCAGTTCATTCCACACATGAACCACTCCGTTGGTAAGAAAAAAAATTTGTGCCCCATGTCCTTTTTAAATCTTTCTGCTCTCGCCTTAAACATATGTTCCCTAGTTTTGAACCCCCCCCCCCACCCCCGGACAAAGACCCTTGTCATTCACCTTGTGTATGCCTCTCATGATTTTATAAACCTTACGCTCCAGTGAAAAAAGTCTTGGCCTTTTCAGTCTATTTTTATATCTCGGATCCTTCATTCCTGGCAACATCCTGGTAAATCTTTTCTGAACCTTCTGCAGTCTTGGTCTTCGCAATTATTGAAAATGTTTGTGGTTCTTTCAGCTTGTCTGAACACAAGTAATGGCTGTGGAGTGTATAAGCTGACTGACCATGACGTTGCCCCGTACAATCGATATCCTCCTTTTTGCTACCTCAACTTGAATGGCTTAATATCCTGCAATGTCATGAAGGGATTCATACTTGTCTTTGATATTTGCTAATCAACTTGTTCAAAGCTGTTGTTACTCACCTCTGGAACACGTGTGGCTTGAACATAGGCCTTCTGGCTCAGAGGTAGGGGCACTTCCATAGACCCATAGAGTGAAGAATGAGAGTCCAAACAGCTGTGTTACTTGACTGGTGACAAGATTAGGAACAGCTGCTCGTGGCTGGAGAGGAACATGCAATGGGATGGGGAGGATCCAGTTGTCATGGTCTACATAGGTCTGCAAAGGAGGTTCTGTATAATGAGTATGAAGAGGTAGGTCCAAAATTTAGAAGAAAAACCTCAAAGTTTGTCATTTCTGGATTATTACTTGAGCCATTTGCAAATTGGCAAAGGGTACAGCAGATTAGAGAGATAAAAGCCCCATTCCAAAACTGATACAGGAAAAGTGGGCTCCAGTTTTTGAGGCAATGGCACATGTACTGAGGAAAGTGGGATCTGTAATGATAGGATGGATTCCTGAACTGTGCTGGGGCTAATGTTCTTGCCAACTGGGTAACTGGAGAAGAAGAGAGGATTTTAAGCTCAGCGGTGAGGGCATGGGATCAAATTTGTGAAGATTTGTAAGTCAAAGACAGAATTAAGGCCATAGAGAATGGTATAAATGATGAACAGGCTGTGACAGGAAGGGGTAGAAAGTACAAATCCAAGAATGACTTAATGACAGTTTACAAAAACAATAAAACCAACAACTGAAGGCTTTGTATCAGAATGCATCTCGTATTCAACACAAAATGGGTGAATTTAGAATGCAAATAGAAATAAATAAGTACAGTCTGGTAGTCATGACAAAGAAAATTACAGGATGACATGGATTAGGACCTGAATCTTCAGGAAGAACAAAAACTAGGAAATGGTGGAAGATAGTTCTGTTAGTTAATGATCGTGTTAACACAATCAAGACCGGTGATCTAAGTTCAGAAAACTAGAATGTGGAAGTGGTTTGAGTAGAGCTACGCAGAAACATAGACAGTAGGTGTAGTCCATTTAGCCTATTAAGTCTGATCCGTCATTCAGTGTGACCATGGCTGATCATACAACTCAATACTCATTGTTTTCCAAATGTTCTGTTACTAAATGTTTTATCATATATGCCAACATTTTCGCTATTACCAATATCACGCTAAGTGGTCTATAATTCCCTGCTTTATTTCTACCTTTTTTAGATAATGGTACAGTAAAATGACAGTTGGTTTACAGTAGAAACTCTCCAATCCTTAGAAACTGTTGCAGAATCTAAAGACTCTTGAAAGATAACCACTGATGCATCCACCATTTCTAAGGCCACTTCCTTAAGTATCCCGGTATGTCGATTATCGGATCTTGGGGATTTATTCATCTTTAATCATATCAATTTCCTCCGCACCATTTCCCTTCTAATTCTGATTTCCTTCAGTTTCTCCCTGTCACGAGACCATGCACAATCCAGCAATTTTGGGATGTTATTTGTGTCCCCGTTTGTAAAGAGATAACCAAAGTATATATTTAATTGATCTGCCTTCTCTTTGTACCTCACTATACAACCTCTTCTGTTTCTGATTATAAGGGATGTACAACTGTCTTCACTAATCCTTTTCCCTTCATATACGTGTTGAAGTATTTACAATCAGCTTATATGTTCCCTGCAAACTTTCTGTCATCCTTATTTCCCTCACTTAATCATTCCTTTGCCTTCCTTTGATGTTTAAACCGCTCCAAATCACCAGGTTTGTTTTTTTTAGACAATTTGTATGCCCCTTTCTTGGATCTAATACTATCCCCTAATTTTCCATGTTAGCCA